TTTTTTTTTACTTAGGTAGGACAGCTTTGTGTTTCTACAGAGGAATAATTTAGAATGATGTGTGCTGACTGAATGCAGCTGTGACCCACCGCAGTTCCCTCAGTTCTTGCATGATGCGCAGAAGCTTACCTCAGCCTCTCAGAGTATTCTCGGCCTGGCCCTGACTCAGGGTAGGTGATGAAAGGGAGACTGCTGGCCTCCTTCTTTGGATGCTTCCAGTTGCTGTCTGTCTCACAGCACAGCAGCCCTCAGGCTCCTGCCACCCAGGCAGATGCCACAGCCACGCAGCCCTGGTCCAATCTGCACCTGGAATGTTAGAGAGGCATGCGTGGGTGACCATGGCAGGTGTGGAGTAGGACTTCCTGAAGTTTTCTTAGCTCATAATCATCATTCTTTTCATGGTTATTAAACATGAATAAAGTTTTCCTAAATAACTATTGCTGAGGAGTATAACAGCTTGTGTACAGAAAGGGGCTTAAAGCCTTGTGTACAGTTTAGTGACTGCTTACACTGAGTATGTTGAGGGAGTTCTCAGTCATCATGTGGCCTCCTCTGTAAGGCCTCCCTGCCTCCAGGTGGGCTCTGCCTCTGTGTTTTCGCTACCTTGTTGCAGCGGCTGTTGGAGCACCTCTGTCTGTCCAAGGCCAAGTGGACCTAAGCTCCTTGGGTGGGCAGATTCGGTGTTACTTGCTTTCTTCTTTTAGGGTTTTGCCCTGCCCTGCACATGGTAACCGCTCAGTGGATGCTGCCTGCATGAATGGCCCTTGGCTGTTGGGATGCTCAGCCTCCTTTTAGCTGTCCGCCTTCCTCTGGTGTTAAGTCACAGTCTAAATGAAGGACCAGTGTCGGGTTCCATGTGCTGTAATGAACTCACATATTTAGGGACAGTGTCAGGATGACTCTTGGCTGCACCTATGTGACACTTGAGTACATATTTGCAAAATTGGCTTCTTTAAAGCTAATGTGGGCCGGGCGGCAACGGCTAACGCCTGTAATCCCAGCACTTTGAGAGGCTGAGGTGAGAGGATTGCCGGAGTCCATGGGTTCAAGACCAGCCTGGGCAACTTGGTGCGACCTCATCTCTGCAATAAATCAAAAAATTATCTGGGCATGGTGACGCGTGCCTGTATTCCAGCTACTCAGAAGGATGAAGTGGAAGGATCACCTGAGCCCAAGAGGTCAAGGCTGTGGTGGCTGTGAGTGTGCCACTGCACTCCAGCCTCGGCAGCAGAGTGAGACTTCGACTCAGAAGAAAAGAAAAGAAAGCTAACGTGCATTCAAAACGCCTGAAAGCTGAAGAGAGCACCCGGAACCTCGTTGCTGAGTCCTCAGCAGGCTGTGCCCCTCCCTCCCACCCAGCAAGCACGCTGTTATAGCCAGTGGATCTGTCTACAGATGGATATCCAGAGTCCAGGCAGCCACTGGGGGCCAAGCAGCTGTTCTACTGCTTTTCTGCAATTCCCTCACTCTCTTTATGTCAACACAACAGCCAGACTGATTCTTTTACACCATAAGTCAGGTTATTTCTCCCTTCTGCTTTAAACTCTCCAGTGGCTTCTCAGCTCAGGGAAAAGCCCACGGACTCCTGAAGTACAAGGCCCTGCAGGGCCTCCCTCTCCTGCCACCCAGGGCCTGTGGCTCCCAGCTCACACACTTCAGCCACACCAGTTCCTTGCAGTTCTACAGGGCTTACTCCAACCTTGAAACTTACGCTTTAACTTTTCCGCCAGATATCCTCAAATTTGTTGCCACTTTAGAAGCTCAGTGGCTCAGCCTGTAATCCCGCGACTTTGGGAGGCTGAGGTGAGTGGATTGCCTGAGCCCGCGGGTTGGAGACCCGCCTGGGCAGCGAGACCTCATCTCTACAATAAATCAAAAAATTAGCCGGGTGTGGTTCACACGCCTGTAGTTCCGGCTACTTGGAAGGCTGAGACGGAAGGATCACCAGAGCCCAGCAGGTCGAGGCTGCGGTGGCTGGGAGCGGCCACTGCACTCCAGTCTGGGCGACAGTGAGACTCCAACTCAAAAAAAAAAAAGAAAGAAAACAATCTTGCTCAAATGTCACCTTTTCAGTGCAGTTTCCCTGACTGACTTATAGAAACTCAACGCCCACTCCTGCGCTTGATCCCCTCATTAGCCTATATTTGATTCTCTTTAGCATTGAACACCTTCTAATGTACCACCTGCATTTACCTACCTAATCCTGTTTTTCTCTTTGCCCAGTGTTAGAGTGTCATAAGCACTTTGAGAGATGGGCTGTGGGGAAGGAAGTATCATTCATTCTTGTGTCCTTAGCACCTAAGAATTGTTGCCATGTGAACAGATGAATTGATTGATGGTGTTAGAGGAGTGTTAGACCCCATCCTTAGCTCTGGTTCTGCTATGAATTGGCCTATTGAGGCATAACCTACGACCCACATCCTTTGTGACTCTCAAAGATGATGGGGGACAGAGCATCCCTACCAGATCTTACACTACCTTCTCAGAAGGGTGCCTTCGCAGTCTCTCTGGGGAGTGTTTTTAGAAATCACAGCGTAGTTTAAGGAAAAATTCTTCCTTAAACTTCCTTATTAGTTGTTGTGTCCTGACTTGGGTATAACAAGCAAAATTTTTTTGAAGGTATAATTTTATGTTTAATACTTGGATTTATGTAGGCATCTGGTTATAATTGTAAGCTTAATGGTTTCCTTTTAGGAAAAAAACCTTCAACATAAAACTCAACAAATGTTCGTTACACATTCGTTTTCCTGGTGTACAACTCTGCTTGGGGGTGTGGGGAATTCACATATATTAGCATTTTGTCCCGCCTGCAAGGAGTTGACCATTGGTAAACATTTAAACAACAGTGGAGGCAATAGTAAATGAAATAATAATTCAGCATAAGGGTCTGTGGTGGAAATGGGATTTAAATACACAGAACGTAAGATCCATTCGCCATGCTTCAGGAGGTCTGCCTTTGTAGATAAGGCAAGCAGGGACTCAGTTAACGAGCATTTTCTGGAAGGAGATGGGACTTGAACTTGAAATCCTTTGGAAGGGTGAATGGCAGTTTGCACTGATGAAGCGCAAGAGTCAGTGTGAGCCAGGAGCAGGTGGTGCTATGGCCTCTGCTCCCTGCCCACCTTCTGGTGACCTCCGGCCGCCGCAGCACCTTCACAGGCTTAAATGCGTGTCTAGGAGATGATGTGACTGGGATGACAGCAGCAGGAACATTCGGGGAAGGCAAGGCAGGGCAGGCTCTGGGGGACTTTGAGTGCCAGGATGAGTTCTGCCTTGCTCAATACAGGAAGGGGGAGGGGCCTGGGCTCTTCCGCGGAGAGCATCTGCTGCCAGCAGGGTTTCAGGAGGCCACGCTGGCAAAGTGGCTGCCATTTGCACAGTTTTTTACTTTAAAATTTAATGGTGCCATTTGTAAGGTGTGTTTTCTGCTTGTGATTGAGGGAAGAAAGTTATTGGGAGTGGAAGTCTTTTAACCAGAAACACCTTACTGTGAAGGCCAGGGTATTCTATCCTACTGGCTAGTTCCTGGCCTTTTCTGGTTAGTCTCCACTTCATTTTCTAGGCTGAGTGTAGTCTTATTCCAGAGTAGGTCGATGCTTTCAGGAGAGGAAAAGGCGATCTATTCTGTGCTCCTTTCTCAGTGTGTCCCGCCTGGCATCTCTGCATCCCTCATGTCATAGCCATTTCTTAGGTGAGAGGACCCCAGGAATAGCATCAGGCTCAGGGGCTTGCAAGATCTGTGTTATAAGATATGGGCCTAGGGAGCTCAAGCAAACCGTCAGCCTCTCTGGACCCTGAAGCCTACCTTCTGGAAAGGATTCTGATGGAGAGCCAAAACTTTGAGTACAGCTAGCATTTTTTCAGCTTAGAGTTTATATTAGTGCTTGCCAGGGGAACACATGCAGTGCTTTGTACTAATAGGCCCAGCGAATTGGAAGGCGTGGGCAGGAAGGTCACCTGAGGCCAGAAGTTTGAGATCAACCTGGGCCCCCAGCCCCTTCAAAAAAATAAATAAATAAAGTAGAATACCTGACCCCCTCCCCAGAGGTGCTGAGTAGATGTTGGACTTGTGGAAGGAGCCTTTGGTAAGGGTCTCCAGGTGATTCTAATACAAACTTTCCACTAAGAGCTTCTTAACCTAGTTAGAGCTCCTTATTTTGTAGACCAGGAAAGGGTCCAGAACCCTGGCCACTCACATCCCAGTCTTTCCGTTACACAATGTCATAGCCTTATTTTGGTCACCTCTTCTTGCATTCATGGAGGGAATTAATGGGTGGGGTGTTTTTTGGTTTGTTTTTTATGATACCCCGCCTTCCGCTTTTTCCAAGGTGGGCTCATTATACCTGTTATGCGAGGATTTGTGGGATTTTAAAAAAATTTCTTTTTGCGTTTTTTATTATCTCCTGGGATGAAAGTAAGATCTAAATTTGAAATTGTGAAGCAGGAACTTAATCCGAAGTGTACTGTATGCTTCTGAGAAACAGGTGTCTTGGCTGTTTTTCATATGCTCTTGGTCTCTCGTGTGCAGCAGGGAAGGCTCCACTCAGTAGTTTTATTTGCTCAGATCCAGGTGGGTGAGTTCACACTTTAGAGTAGTGGCACTTTCCGCTTAGAAATTCTGCAGCCACATGTGTGATCAAGTTAACTAGAAAAACTGCATCGCTGCTGTTAAGCCAGTAGAGTCTAGTTGGTAATACAGTGTAAGATACCATGAGCTGATAAAGATTCCAGATCTGGAAGACCAGAGTAGGGATGCTCAATGGCTGGTGAGCCACAGGGATAGAACGTTTAGGGGGAAGGGCAGGGAGCTTGGGGCTGCATCTGAGGCCTCAGTAAGCATTCTGGGACTACTGGGTCTATTGAAATAACCCTTGGGGAACGCTGTAGGATAAGGGAGGAGGCTTCTGAGAAGCCAGCAGTGCTTTTAAAACCGACTCCTAAATTAAAGCTGAAATGTGTACCCCTCACTCACGCTGTTTTTCTCCTCTCTTGTCCTGCAGGGGTTGATAGTTCTTGGGGAGGTCCCTCTCCCAGAGCATACAGCAACAGAATTGTTTCTTCCACTTAGCTGTGAGGTGAAGACAGACCATGGGACTGATAAATCGGTGAGTATGAATGATAGAAAGGGGAAAATGAGTGAGAATTCAGGGTACTGCCTTGGCACACAGTTTATTTTCTCTAACTAGGACCCTCATGTTGGCTGCAGGAAGGGATTCTTACTTTTGGCTTTCAAGTTCTGAGTTTCTGAATAGGCAACATAGGGCCCCTTCTATAGCTATGTAGCTGACCACAGAATTTGAAAGCAGCTCCCAGGCCCAGCACTGTGGCCCACACCTGAAATCCCAGCTCTTTGGGAGGCCAAGGCAGGAGGATCAGATCCAGTGAGCTCAGGAATTTGAGGCTGTGATGAGCTGAGAGTGTGTGTGTGGTGAGAGAGAGAGTGAGAGGGGAGAGAGGGACAAACCCGTCGTCTTCTGTATCTCCTCAGAGCCTAGCTCACATCTCCCGCTTCTGTGATTCCTTCTCTTTCCTTATTTCTGTCAATACTATCATTAATTTATTTTCTTTCTGAAGTACAAGAGCACTTGTTTATTTCTTTCACTTTTTTACTTTCCCTGAAAGGGCTCTGGCTTTTCGTGAATATTAATGTTTCTTAATTTGAATCCCAATGACTTGGTTTGAAATTCCAGAATCCCACAACAGGAGCAGTTTATTATTTTGATTATGTTTCAGAGCATACTTAAGCCTAGTAACAGTGTGAGAGATTGTGAGAGAAACTGGCCATTCTCCATGTTTGCAGATCCCAGCCTTGTTCTTTTATCGTTTTCATCGTTAACAGGAACTTATATGATATGGTGGAGACTAACTTTACTGTAGCTAGATCTTGGAGATGTCTCGATCTTGGAAGCAAGCGTCTCCCACCTGGTTTTGAAAGCTAGCATGGTTACTGGGGTTAGGTGTGAGGGCATTACAAGATGGATAGTTCTTAACAGAAAAGTAGCTTTGAATAAACTAAAGAGCAGAATGCCAGATTCTGCCACTCTTCCAGTCTGTAATGTGAGTTCATTGAATGCCATCTACAGAATTATTTTTAAAGGGATTTATGAAATGGTTTCAGAGAATGGTCTAACCAGGGTAAAATTAATTGTTACCTGAAAGAGAAAACGTGGTTAGGTTAGAATGTAAGCTGGTGGCAAGGTGGGTGCTGGAGCCGTGAAACGGGGGAGCACTGCAGTGGAGAGCGCGTCCTGAGTCCATGTTTACATATTTGTGTAAGAATTTCGGGATGCCAGCATTTGAGGGCAGTCTCCTGGTCATGGTTTCTCCCACCTTTCACTTTTAAAGGGTTGGACATAACAGTCTCACATTGTGTTATGGATTTTCATTGTTTAGAGAAATGTCCCAGGTGATGGTGAGGCAGTTGACACACATTTGCAAGCAAGGGCCACCCCTTAGGGGCTAGTCCCTGCCCTTAGTCACCTGCTTGTGTATGTCTTGGGTGTATGACTAGAGGGTAAGGTTCTTGGAGGTCAAGGCCATCTTTCTCTGTGTTGGCCACAGGTCTCTGTGTACAATAGAATGCCTTTTGGATTGAGTAAAGTAAGTAAATGTGAAAACAGCATTTAGGAGAACTCACTGTTTTGTCTTCAAGGAGAGATTACCCTCCCCCCCTTCTTGTGAATTACCTCCTTTTATTAATGTGCACTTGCTTTCTGAAACGCCTTCAGAAAGTCTTCCAGGAGACAGCAGGGCATTTTTGTATTTATCATATTAGTGGCATGGGCTGCAGAGCATATGTTTCTTAATAACCATTAATCATCTCACATTTTTTATTTATTTTAAAGATGTGGGGTGCAGTTCAGGGTTAGGTATACAAATGTTCATTATGCAGGTACCCTTGTTGATGAGGTGTGTCCCCCTCTCCCAGCACAGTTTCCCACTACTGCCAATGCTATCTCCCCCCTTAATCCCCCCGCAGTTCCTGCTACTGCCAGTCTTTTTCTTATACTATTATGATAATTGCTCAAGGTCCACTTATGAGTGAGAACATGAACTCACATTTTTTAAATGCCAAATATTTGCAAAGCTATGCCTGATATGTCAGTTGCCAAGCAAAGTGTTTCATTGTAAGAAGGCAGTGTTTAGCTTTGCTTTTTTGTTGTGGAGCATCTTTTTAGAAAAGTGACTTGACTCTTCTGTCTTGCTTTAAATGCAAATCGCAGGCCAGCGTGGCAGAGGCAGCTGCAGATCTTCACGTCCACACTTAACCGGCCTGTCTCCATCTTGCTGCTTTTCCCCAACATGGAAGTGCGCTTGCTGCCTCCCCCCTTTATAAAGAAACAGGGTCTTGCTGCGCTGGAGTGCAGGGGTGTGACCACAGCTCCCTGCAGCCTCCACCTCCTGCAGGTCTCCTTTCTGTGTTACCCCAGGAATACATTTGAAGACCCGAGGTTTTAAAATCAGGGTGTCAGAGGTGTTTTGTGTTACTTTATCTTTATATTCTCATTTCTGAAACTCACTGGAATCAACTACACAAAAAGAACCAGGAGGAGGATGAAGGGAAAATAGCAAAGGGAAGACAACAAAAGTACAGCCAGTGACCAAAACAGAACGAAGAGAAGCAGCAGCAGAAGAAAGCATCAATATTTTTAGAACTGTCAAAAAATAGTTTCAAGAAATTAGACAGATTGCTTGAAGAAATACATAGTGATTTACTGAATAAGGAGGGAATCCTGGTGGTGGCAAAACTGGTAACAGTATCTTAATACCAGATAGTTGATCTGTGTGTATGGCCCATGAAAGGAAGAGGCTGGATCTGGTCAGTCACATACAAAGCATATTCGTCTCCTGCAGAACAGTAAACCTGTAACATTTGGGTTGCGTTTTCAACAAGACACAGACCAATTTTAACTTGTCAGTGCTCTAAAATAAATAACCAACTTCAGGTTTCTGGCCCTTCTCAGTTATAAATAGTAGTTTATGGAGAGTCAGATGATTATGAGGTGGGCTTGTTAGCCAGTGCTCCAGTGTTTCACGGAAAGGACACACAGGCAGGTCTCAAGCCCATGGGTAACCCTCTCACCTCAGCCTCCTAAAGTGTTGGGATTATAGGCATGAGCCACGGAGCCCAGCCGAGACTCAGCTGTTCTAAAGGTGCCCGACTTGTGGTCAAAAGAGCAATGAAGGCTGAGTCATGGGTGTACCTCTTGAGTCAGAGTGAAGCAAGGGCTGTTTTCTGGGATGGGGAGATGGGTTCTGTCTTTATACCACAGACAGTGGGGTGAGGACGCAAGATCTAAGGGGAGCTCCTGGGAAATGCCATTTTGTGAGCTTCTTCATGATGACTTCTGACAAGGAGGGGGAGAGACTCCAAGGACAGGGCCTTCCGACTTGGTCGCTGCTGGTAAAGCCACGTGTGGAGAGGGATGCTGCTGTGAAATGAGACTCCCTCTGAGCGAAGCTGGTGTGCCCCTGGCAAGGGGGTGTGGACAGCTGTGGAGAGTGGCTGTCTGGCTTCTGCACCGTGCCTTGGAACTTCCCCTCCTCCTGAGTCCCTCTCTGGAGTAAGCAGCAGTCTGCTTCCCCCATGGAAGAGAAAGCAGTGAACAGGGATGAGCCCACTTAGCACCTGTGTGTATCACTAGGTAAACTGCCCAAGAAAGTCAGCAGAACTTCAGGCGACAAATATTCTTGGGAGAGATGCCTTCTCATCTGTGTGCAGGGGGAGAGTCACAGCATTGCTGGTGTGTGTGTCGGCAGAGGACAGAGTTCAGAGTTGCCAGGTGGGTAGAGATTGAGGGAGAGGATGGTGGCAGAGAGGGAACTTTGGGGGATGGGGCCTCAGGCCTGCCACCTGTGTGGATCCCCTTGTGCGGGCTTGTGCTTATCCCCAACTGCACGTGTTCACTGCAGGCTTGATAAGGCTTGTTGGAAAGCAGCACTTGGGAGACTGAAAGAGCTGAGCAGAGAGTGCTGTCGTTGCCTGGTGCAGGGAAGGCACAAGTTGGAGTCTGAACCCCAGTGAGACTTGCCAGACACCTCGGTGTTACATGGAAACCAGTGATGGCTCATACTGGAGGAGTTAGAGAATGTTCCCCAGAACTAGGGGATTCACCATGGGATTAAGGAGAAAATCAAAGTAGACCCTAATATGCTTCTATGGAAACATAAAACCAGCTTCACAAAATCAAGGTAATCAAAGAGTAATTTGCCTGCTAGAACAAAAATCATCTTTCTTCGGGGAAAGCTAACTGAACCCAGAGTCTCTACAATGTATTACATACAGTGTCTATATATAATAAAAAGCTTACATTAATAAACAGGAAATTGTGCTTCTTAGCTCTGAAGAGAGAAAGCAAAAATAAGACCAAAAATTGAGGAAATTATGACTGGATTTTCTTTTCTTTTTTTTTTCTGAGTTGGAGTCTCACTCTGTCACCCAGACTGGAGTGCAGTGGCTGCTCCCAGCCACCACAGTCTCGACCTGCTGGGCTCTGGCAATCCTTCTGCCTCAGCCTTCCAAGTAGCTGGAACTACAGGCGCGCACTACCACGCCCAGCTCGGATTTTCTTAATTTAAAAATTCAACTCAAAGATTGAGGAAACTCAGAGTATAGTAACCATGATAACCATGAGAACTACATTGTAGTTAGAGTGGTGAACATCGAAGGTGAAGACAGTCTTGAAAATACCTAGAGTATAAAAACATGAATTTCGTACCACACTGCTAAGGATAGGTCTTATCAGAAACAGTGGAACTTGGTAATTTAATGCTGGGGAGGGAGGAAGACTGTCACACAGCACCAAATGTCCTTCAAAAATGAAGAGGCATTTTCGGGTAAATGAAAGCTGAGAGAATCGGTATCTACACTGAAAGAAATGTTAAAGGGCTTTCTTTAGGTTGAAAGCAAATAAAATCAGCGGGAAACTCAGATTTATGGGGAGTAGAAGGACAGAAAAGACAGACTGCAGGAACAGTAAGCGTAAGAAGTCATCATGACTGTGGTCTCTAAGAGAAGCAGTCTTCCAGAGATAGAGGAGACTGTTTTACAGTGATAAAAACGTCCATTCGTGACAAAGACATAAGGCTTATCAGCGCAGAGCTT